ACGGTCTACTAAAACTCGCTAGTAACTCCGACACTACGCACCTTTGGCTTATTAACTTCTCCCGGTCCATCTTTTTGTATTTACATTACTTCACCTATATATATACACACGGTGTTTTTTTATTAATACACATTTGTTTAAAAAAAACGGGAAAGCTACACTAATGCAGTTTGTGCAGATCGGTTATACGGTTAGGCGGACATAATGTGGGTGGCTAATCTTTGCAATAAGTCGGCTAATTAATTAAGATTCGTTAATTAACTTTTTAATTACTGAAATTAAACGTATGGTTTCAATTAGAAACTTGTAGAGCATCATCGAAAACCACTAAATAAACTATATTTGGAAGGAAATAACGCCGGGGAAGCATTTTATGGCGTTCCGTAAAAGCGTTCCATTTGGACGCGTTTCTAGATTTCGGTTTCTTATCGGAGCGCGTCACCGCGCCCGCGGTCCTGCTCCCCAGTGGCCGAGACGCGCAACGCACGTGCGCCCTATTTCCCTCCATTGTACAAGGGTGGCGAGGGGGTTGTTTCGCGCCGCGACCACCAGGGAGCAGGGGTGCGGGCGCAAAGATGCGCTCCGATAAGAAACCGAAATCTGGTAACGCATCCAAACGGAGCGTTCGTAAAGAACGCCGTAAAATGCTGCCCCGGCGTTATATCCTGCTAAAAATAGTTGATATACGGGTTTTCGATGATGCTCAGCAAGTTTTTAATTCGAACTACATGTCCATTTTCACTAATTCAAAAGGTAATTAACGAATTTTAATTAATTAGCCGACTTATCGCAAAGATTAGCCACCCACATAATGTCCGCCTGGCCGTATAACCGACCTGCACAAACCGCATTAGTGTAGCTTTCACGGTTTTTCTTGAAGAAATGTGTAAGAATAAAAAAAAAAAAAATGTATATATACATATTGTTACGGGCGTTCCAGCCGTTGTCCCTTTCTTACTGACCGTACTTGGTCCTCCTTCTCTTCATTTCCCCGTTGGACTTCTTTACTTTCGCCCGTTGCAATTGCCCCCATCTAAGGAACTGTCCGACCCGACCAAAATCGCGTGTCACATGAGGTTTGAGCTGACTGACATGAGCTGTCAAAGTCCGGTGTCTTCCTCGTTGAGGCAGCGTTCGCAGTTCCTCAAGGCGATATGTTTTGAGTGTCGTTAGGTGTAGCTGTTGAAGATACGCATAATTAAATCGAAAGTTCAGAGGTTGCAACAGATGTTCATATGTAGTTCGACTTTAATCCGGAATACACTCGAGGGACTCTGCCGCTTTTCCACGTAGCTGGGTGACTAAAGCAGCAGCCTTGCCAGGGGAGTCCCAGCCATTGTGTCGAGCCACCGTTTCGAATTGCACGATGAACGCCCTCCAGGAGCCAAGACCATCCAACGTCGGGCGTTTGAGCCGCTTTGCGCCGGAATCCGATGGAGCTATTTCTGCTTGTCTCTCGTGCTCATTGTTTCTGGAATGGCGGATTGCCTCTGCTTCCTGGTTGGCGGAAGGGTCATCCGAACCTTCTGGTCGCGTACCAGTTTGTAGGGCCTGTTCCAGGTGCTCCAGTCGAGTATGTACAGAGGAGAGGTGTTGATGTACATCGGTGACTTGTTGATGTAAAGTCTGCTCCACGTTCGCAATGCGAGGTGCAAGGCGATCGTCGAACTGTGCAAGTAAATTTACAGCGTCAGTCGAGTTCTTCTTCACCAACCGATCGTAAAGCTGTTCGGTGAGTCGCTCCCAATTTGGCTCTGGATTTGCAGGCTAGGAGCGGGCGTTCATGCTGAACATGCCGCCGGTGCCACCAAAATGTTACGAGCGTTCCAACCGTTGTCCTTTTCTTACTGTCCGTGCTTCGTCCTCCTTCTCTTCATGTCCTCGTCTGTCTTCTTCACTTTCGCCCCTTATATATATATATATATATATATATATATATATATCTTAGAGCAAAGCTGTATATGGCTAGGGTTCCGTGGATTTTTCGTGTGCACGCGCTGCACTCGCACGCCTTCTCCCTATGAAAGATTCGAAGTAGATAACCAAAATAAAGCGTTGATGAACGCGCGTGCAAGATGCCTTTTGTTTAAGGCTTTCGCTTTAAATCATTAGGCGGGTTTCACACGCAGCGATTCCGCGGCCGAAATCACTGTCGCTAACGCCGAGGCGATACAGATCGCGAGGTTTCATTTCACATGAGCGTTTTCTGCTGCTGTGATGGCGCCTGTTGCTTGCAGCAAGCAGATGTTCCTAAATTCTGTGAGCTTCGCGTCCCAAAGAAACCGACGCTCCGACACTTCACTGATAAGCAGTTCAATGAACTGGGCACGATACATTTCGCCTTTCTTGGTGTGACGACCTGTGTTGGAAACGACACGTCAATGTCGTTCAGATATTCTTCTTTTGTTTTTCTCACTAGCGCTCGCATAAGCCCCTTCCGATTAGCGTCTCCTGCACTCGCTACAGTTGGTACTCAGGCGAGAAAAGTAAAAAAGAGCCCCGTAGTTCATTGAGAAAAGAAATTCAGAGGGAGGGGACAGAAATCCCCCTCCTCCATGATCTCCTGAACAGTTGCGACGCGACTGCTGAAGCAAAGAATCTCGACCAGCCAGAAAAAAGAAACCGCAAACCAGTCACTTGCGTACTTTCTCTGTTTGTCGCCCGCTTCAGGAACGTGAAAACGCCGCCGTCCTATGCGCCAGCTTTCCCGCAATGTTTCTTTTCCAGTCACGTGATTTGCCGCCGCGCTGTGAGTGGCCAGCGCGGAAGCTGCCGCTCTGCCGCGACGAAAAATATCCAACCGGATGGAACCGCGCCGGCCAGAGCGCCGGGACGACAGAAATGGCGCCGCTCTAAGGCCAAAATTGCTGCATGTGAAACCCGCTTTACTCCAGCAGACGCCGGCGCGTTCGGCGAGTAGAAAACCATTTCCTGTATTCTCCCTGAAGCTTGGGTAATTTATCAATAGGTCTATTCAGTATGAATAGACCTATTGATATGAATAGACCATCCTTAGGCAGCATTTTCAAAATCAGTAGGATCTCAGGTAGAAAATAAAAGTTTCTCAAAATTTGCCGCTGTGCGACCCGCGTGAGCCATGTCTACGCTCGCACCGCACTGTCGTTATCGTCATTCTAAGCGCTTGTGTCTAGTTTGCTTTCCTTCCGCTCTCCCGGGGTGGCGGTCCCGTCATGCGTGTCTAGTTTCCTTCGGCTCCTCGGGGCGGGTCTGTGTCGTGTGCTAAACAGCTACGTTGGTCATCCACCTTCAAAGGGTGGAATGGCTCATGATTGTTTTTTTCTGGCCGTCTCTGAGAAGATAGTCCTTCGCCCTTGCCTGTACCAGAATCTCATAGATTAACAAATCCGAAATGCTGCAACTTTTATGTCTTCTGCCAAAGGCCACCGAAAACACAAATTGAACCATAGTCGCGTTTAGTCGATGAGTCCTCTCCGAACGCTGGCGCAGAACTCTCCTTCAATCTGCGTCCCCCCCCCCCCCCCCCCCCCCTCCCCTCACCGCTGTCCTCCTACGACCTACGCCACAGCGTGGCGTAGGTCACGTAAAGCTGTCCTGCGCTACGGCCTGGTTATCTAGGAGCTGTAGACCGCACAACTCGTCGATCGTATGTGGCCAATCACGACTATTCATACTGCGACGCTGCTGTCAAATAGGCAATATTCCAGGAATTTAGTAATTGAATTGTACTGCATCAAAGATTTTCCCTCAAAGTTCTACAACCGAAAATCCGTTCATCCGAGAACACCGCTGAAGCTAGTCTTATTTTAGCCGTTGACGAATTAAAAATCAGAGACAACTTGGGAACGCCTGTGTTTTATTCAAAGACGATGTTAACTTTTCCCGAAACGCGAAGCGCAAATTTCATAAAAAAACACGCGCCACCTTTGTTCTGGACTAGCCCGTTGAAGATCCTAGGGAGCCTTCATGTGCGCTTTGCTAGGGTGATGCCACCCTTTGTAATACCACTCGCCGACAAACTAGCCGCCATTTTGGTCCTCGGCGAGAATCTGGGGGCTTAGAACCCTCCCGGAAACAAGCACCTTATCTCACAAGTTCGGAGCAGCGTTGTGGAACCCACGGAGGGAGGATTAGCATTTCCCCCCTCGGATGGGAGGACCGATGGACACAAAGGCCACTTTCTGGCACACGGGGAAACAATGAGGGACAAAATGGCAGTGGACGAGGGTGTGGGAAAGGGAAACAGGCAGTTGGCATCACTCTATGCGAAGCGCACATGAAGGCACCCTAGAAGATCCATAGTGTTTTATTAATGGCTGTGCTCATGAATCTCATGAAAATAAACCAATCAAATCAAAGCAAAATCAAACTTTTGAAGTGTTCGCGTGCCTACACGCGTGTGCTCGTCTGTAACAGCGTGGCTTGTTCAAATGTATTGGCCGTATAAAACGATTCGCCTAAGCATTACATTTATTATGCATCAATGCTGTTCATTTACAACTACTCATCTCGTGTTGTTGATGCTTTAATCGATTTTAAATTTTACGGGATGAAAGGCAACGTTACAAGCTTGACTAATGGAGGAACGCGGTAAATGTCGAAAGTATATTGATTACATCTATATTGCTACGACTATGCCCCGCCCAATAATTCCACTATTATAATTCCTGCTTAATCCTACATCTTGAGTACTCAAGCAGAGATCAATATTCTAATATAAAAAGCAAACTATATTTTCAACATCTCAACCATGTAAACGCATATTGAAGTTATAATACTCCAATGCCGTCATCGACATCTCTATTATGACGTTAATAATCTCTGAAGAAGGAGAACAGGTGGGAGAAAGAACAAGCACAAATCTCCGGTAGTTCACCAGTCACCTAGCTGTGTTTGAAGATTTGTGTTTGTCGATTTTTCCACTCGTTCCCCTTCTCCAGTGATTATTATCGTCATTCTTTTCCAGCTCCTTTGCACCTTCGCATTATCAAATCCATTGTTTTTTGTTATGTTTTTTGCAGGGTTAACACCGCAATTCAAAACGACAAAGCATTTTCAAAGGCATTTAAATGCGCTGCAGGTACTCCGATGAACATACCGAAGAGATGTGTGTTCTGGTGAAAACCCCGGTGTGTGCATTTCGGTAAAATGCAAGCTAGTTATGTGAATAAAGTTCGCTTATATTCATAAAAATAATAAAAGCTGCACGTCCTCAAACTATTTTGACTTCAATGCTCTCAGTGATATTTCTGAAACGGTTCGTTTTAAGCTCACCGTGTGCGAAGATTACAGACTAAAGTTCGATCAATGAATTTTATATGTAGACGTTTACATGTGAACCGATGTGCCAAGGTTTTCTAACGAACCTAGGTTTCGGTGTAAATTGACGCGACTACATAGTCGCGACTACATAGTCGCGACTACATAGTCGCGACTACATACCGATGTGCCAAGGTTTTCTAACGAACCTAGGTTTCGGTGTAAATTGACGCGACTACATAGCCGCATGTGTACAATACTGTATCGTTGACTCGGTACTCGCGTAGACCTCTGCATATTGCGCAAAAATCATGTTTTCGCTCCGTAATTCAGCAATTTGCTGAAGAATTCTCCGAATTGCGCTTTTTCGTTTTTTGCATAATCAAATATTTTCTTACGGACGAGTATCCTTATAAGATTACACTAATCTCATTTGTGCGACTTTTGTCAATACATCAGAAAAAAAATATCAATTCATTTGTCAGCATATTCGTACAAACTAATCATTTCGTATGTATCTTTATACAGCCGGAAGTTGTTCAACCTCAACGGGCGTTTGGTGTGTCAGCTGTAGATGAGAAATTTATACAGTTAAGTACTACTGCTAGCCTAGGGGCTTTACCGTACGCGAATCACGCATGTAAGCAAGTGCCTTACGTTTTGGCAATTTTGTTTTTCTTTCTCCTTGCGCGCTTCCAATTGTGATAGAAAGCCCCAACGGAAAGATAATTTAAACACCTGGCTTCCCATTTCTGCTGGCGCCGTGGACGCACGACTTCCAGACACAGGACCATCTACACCAGGGGTGGCCAGGCTGACCCGGCCTAAGAGCCGCAAACGAAACCACGAAACTTGCAAAAGTCGCGGGGGGGGGGGGGGGGTGCAAACTTTCTGTCCAGAGCAATAAACGAAACTCGAACTGCTCTCACTCTATCCAAGTCAAAAGCAGTCCAACTGTACGTAAAGTAGCACAAGACTACCAAACCGCAATTTGTCTTCCGATTTAGAACTCGTTCCATTTCTCTTTTTGGCGGAGTGCTCCTGTGAGCGGGAGGGAGGCGGGGGAGTATGTGTGTGTGTGTGTGGGGGGGGGGGGGGGAGGGGTAGGGTTAGGGGAGGGAGCCGCGAGCCGCCCTTCAACACGCGAAGAGCCGCATGCGGCTCGCGAGCCGCAGCTTGGCCACCCCTGATCTGCACCATCGGATGGCAACCGACCAAGGGAGAAGACCAAGGGCCAAGTGTCAGTCGGTATGCGAGACTCAACGAGCGACTGCGCGGGTGTGGGGTTGTCACATGCAACCCTATAACAGGTGTATGCTATCTCTTTCGTTCATTAGAACCGCAAATTTTGTACTTCGGATGGTGTCAGTATTAAACAGAAGTATTTACCATAGCCTCCTATTTACAGACAAAGCCTCGCAGATCACACCGAGAAGCTGCCGCCCAAATGGAAAAGTTTAAGAAGCACAGAACGGGTCAGAAGAGAACCCAGTTTGAAGTTATCTGTATCTCTCTCGAGATGGAAGTGGCTAACATAAATCACAAGTAGGATTGGCAACCAAACCATCGGAACTTAGAGCGGAACGAAGGGCGAGAAGAGTTAATGAGTGGGATACGTATAGACAATTGCAAGCAAGGCGCCACAAGTGGTGCCCCATGCGTACAAGCGCGTGGAACACGCGGGTGAGCGTAGCTTTGGCAAGCTCGTAATCGCACGGGCGTGCCTGCTCGAGCAGAGACATGGCGGCGGCCAGTCGCCCAGCTTGCAATCGTCTATAGACAAAAGCCAAACAACCCAAGATCTAAAGAAAGAAGAGAGAAGGCAGCGTACTCGCCCAGTGGCAAGAGCGAAGAAAGAAGGCCGTCGGTAAGCGTCCCTACTGTGCGACATGAGTGCGAAAAACGGAGCGAACGTCCACAGCGTGATGAACCCCAAGGAAGCGAAGGTAGCGAGCGAATTTTCATTTTGCTTGACTTCTGAGAGTAAGGAGCGACCAAGTAATTCTTAAAAATTTTATTGTGCGGGTATATTTTATCGCATAGGGGAATTTCGATCGTGTTGTGCGACCTGGGTGATTACGTCGGGCGCCTTGCGGTTGCGGCATTTTATTTTCTCTACGTTGTGAGTTTCCTATGTTGGTGCATAACCAAAGTGTACCGCACGTATTGTTGGGAGGTTTTTCAATGTGTCAGTCTGCTACTTGAGTATTTGTATGTTGCCACACGTTTTGCGAATTCTTTGTGAAGCCGCAGAGTGCCCTCTCCTACTTCGAGCGTATCGCATAGCGCTCGAGTTCGGTTGTGTTCTGCCGTTTATGATTAAGGACGTGTATCTGCAATTGAGTGTTGGCCACCTTAATGTATTTTATGCTTCGAGATTGCATCATAAAATATTGTTAAGTGCAGGTAGTAATTTTAGTTTTTGTACGAAATAGCAAACCCAGACGAAACATTCTCCATGACCGTATTGATAAAACTGATTCTCTTAACAAACAAAATCATCACCGAATTCGATCCACAAGCGAGAGGGAGCAAGAAGCACAATGCCAACTTTTCAGATGATGTCAGATGTAAAGAGAAAATCACAGACTTTAGTGTAAAAGGCAATTAAGCTACTTCACGTGATCGGCTGCAGCGGAAAGAGAGTTACTTTCAAGCCAAGGTGTGATTCTGCAGAGAAGCAAATGTGGACTTTGTGACACTCGAGAACAGATAAGACTGCTGTCCGGACAGCTCTGTACAATGCTAATTGGACGATTGCCTAAGGACGGAGATGACCTGATGCACACGTACCATTCAGGAGTTTGAATTGTTCAAAAAATATGCAAAGAACTTTCTTTATAAGGACTTCAGAGGTAGAGACGAAGAACGAAACCGTAAACAGGTCTGACACAAGATCACCACCTGGAAAGGAATCTCGGAAACAACAAAAAACAAAGGACAGTCGACCGCCAGTAACGAATGAAAGAGGGGAACTCAAATGCTATAAGTGCGGTAATTTCGGACACATCTCACGAGACTCTCCGGAGGCGAGAGGTGCACTTAGGTACCTGAAATGCAACAAGGTGGGACACAGGCAACGCCATTGTATGAAGACAATCCCACGAGATGAAACGAACACTGTGAGCGAGCCGAAGGAAGAAATAGGAGGCCCAGGAGGGCTCCTGAAACGTGTCACTTGTCGGACGATAATTGGGTTGATTGACACCGGAAGTTCTGGGTGTCTTCTACGCGCCTCTGCAGCATCGCGTTGTAGTGAGACGTTATTTAGAGAAACAACGGCCCTCAATGCTTCGGAAACACAACCCTGTTGTGAAAGGCCCCCGGACCAGAGGCCAGATTCATAAAAAACCTCTTACCTACGACAACTTAGCTACGAAGTTCGTAAAGTTACGATCATCGTAAGATGAGGCAAGAACGGTATTCACAAACGCGTTCTTAACTGAGAGGAGGAAAGTTACGACCTCTTACGGAGAAACGATGACTTCCGGTGCTGTTGCTATGGCAACGGCGTCTTCGGCAGAACGAACAACCAATTAGAGAGCTAGGCATAGTTCGGAGCACGTGGATTTTTAATAACAAACACAGGCTAACCACTCGTTGATAGACAGCTCTGTGTATGTCCTGCCCTGTCTGTGTGTAAATGTGTTGTGTTCAAGCTGATTCTCGTAAACACGGGCGACCTTTCCACCACCGCTTGTCTGGGGTTCGTGTCCGTGCAGTGGTATATCGACGCTAACAAGATTTAAACGCTTCGTTGACTGCTACAAACTCGATCGCTACGAAGTCAACAGAACTGTCATCGTTGGTAAAAGCGCCGTGCCAGTCGTTTGCAAAGCGACGTAGAAGGAAACAAATCGCCGCGGCGTTTCTCGCGGTCTCGGAAATGCAGGAGTGAGCCGACGTTAAAAAAGATACGTTTGAACTACGAGAGTGTCAGCAAGAGTCACGCAAATACCTGTTCACACTCGGAGCGGACGCGTGCGTTTGATCGAAGTGCTGGATTCAGACTGCGTTTCGGTAAGCGCTTCGGGACCGATCTTCTACGATTGCAACTCGATACTGACGTGACACTCGGCAAAGAAAGGTTGGACCGGCATCGCGTAGCTCCCACAAACTGATACAGCTGGACAATTAAAAATGGCATACTAATAACAAAGTGTACATACCATGTTGCGAAGGTAATCCATACGGCGTTTATTTGAGCTCTATATCACACAAAACAAGGAGATAGAATCGAGGAGTCCCTTTTCGACGACAGCGTTCGTCACCGCTGCCTCGGAAAACAAGGTGATCGAGATGATAAGGGGAATCGGCTGACCTCTGAAATTTAGTTCAGCTGTCAAACTATTCATACGGGGAGGGTCCACAATGGTCGCGCGGGCATATTCCATTCAGCAAGCCAGCCGGTCGTGGGCAGACGGTCTTGGCCAAGGACCGTCTGAGCAATGCTGCGCCGGAAGGGGTCGGAGTGCCTGCTAGGCCTATATATTCTGCCGAGCTCGCTTGGTCGGTGGGATCGTTGCCTTTGTTGCCTTTTCCGGGTGTCTGTGGATCCAGCGTTCATGTTCGTCGTGGTCGGTTTCAAGTACTTCTTCATTTTTTTCTTGCTGCTTGAAGTCGGGACGCGCAAGAAGAGCAGGTAGAAAAATAAATGTCCGTTGGGTCGTCGCGACCGAGCAACTGAGCGACGTTGTCGGCCATGTTAATTTGACCGTAGAAAGTGCGTAAGACAGCTTCGGAGCTGTCGTAGGATTTTGTCGTAACCTGCGCAAAAGTTACGACAATTTCGTTTCGAGAATACGGATTTTCTCTCAAATTTGTCGTACGCATTTTTTTCGTCGTAAGTTCGCTTTGAGAAT